ACTTAATTCAAATGGGGGCTTGTGGTCTTACGTCCGGACACGTAGGATGGCGTTCGGATGCAAGGCCCTAATGGTTTGGCGTCCAGACGCCAATACATGTGTTTGGGTGCGAGGTACTGAAGGGTGGCGTCCGGACACCAGTTCTTGCTTCTGGACACGAGGCATGCTTCTTTGGCTGCTGTTTTTTCTTTAGCTCTAATTGCATCCATCACCTATTCAGGTTGTTTCTCCTTGAAAACCACTTGAAATGTAGGCCCGATATGAGTTATGCTTCAAAAATCCTTAAAACCTTATTCTTATTCCATTTTAGCAATAAGACCTACAAAGACACAAAAACATAAAAATGTAGTTAATCTATATACACAGATCAAATAATGGGCTTAACTAATGCAATTAAGGGTGCTTAAATATGAAATATTTGATGCTTATCAGACCCCCAAACTTAGATTTTGCTAGTCCCTTAGCAAAACAAAATTGAAACACAAATATTTCCTCTTTCATGGAAGTGACGATTGCATTTAGCATATGCAACAAGCCTTTTAAATGTAATGACTCGGTCATTTTCCTCCTTTCTTTTCTTGGCATTTTTCATTTTTTTTTTTCATTTTTGTCTTTTTCCCAGTTTTCGTTTTCATTTGCATAACCTCACTTTTTATACTCGGATTTGATTCTAGCTTTGCATGCATCCATGATAATTAATTTTCAAGATGTGTATATTTTTACTTTTGTAGAAAAACATGCCAGAGGTTTTCTTTTCTTGTAAAGGGTATGGATGTATAGTTTCTTGAAAATATTCTAGACTTTTAGGGTTTCAGTGTAATTAAATAAAGTAATTATTTTTCGTCTTAGGGACCATTTTGTAATTTAATTTAGAAGATATTTTGGAAAAGGACCTTTTTGTAATTTTAAAAAAGTGTAACAAGTGTCACACTCCCATGGACCACTTGTTGACATTGTGGAAGAACCACTTGGAGGCTTAGTATGATAACACATGGAGGGTGGAGATTCACCCATTTGTTGGCCTAGGACTGGAGCACTTGTTGGCGTGGATGGTTGACAAGTGTAGGCTTAATATTAAGCCTTGGATGATTTCTTAGGATGGTGACAAGTGTAGGCACTATACTTAGTCTTGCATTAGGTGTATGTGGAGACTATGGTATAGGATCCCATAGTGAGTGGAGGAATACTAAATCCTCCACTCACCATATTTTATTGTATCTTCCTCATCACTTTGCTCTAAAACCCTAACCTAGCCTCCATTGAAGGAAAAGCTTGGCTTAGAACTTTTGACTTCATTTTGGCCTCCTTCCACTCACCTTAGACCATTAAGCTTGGAATACTTTAGCTTTCTCTCACTCTCCTCTACAAAACCCACTCTAGTTTGGTTTTCCATTTTAAGCTTGGTTGCTTGGATTATAGAGATTCAATTCTCTATTGAGGTAGGGGTGGTTGTATGTTTATCCTTTTTGGGTTTTTGTATATATTGAAACTTAATATATAATGATTACATGCCTTATAAATTCTCATATTTGCATATAAATAGAGATTTGATATTCTTGACTTAGGAATTGTAAATTAAAGTATGTAAATGATTAAGAACATTGAAGAGGTAAATTGTTGTTTTATGGTTTACCTATACTTGAGACTTCATTGGGGGTCTATCATGAATGTCTTGGAAGTTATACTTATATTGCTAAGTAATGGACATTTCATTAAAGATTAAGTATAAAGATCTTGAATATAGCACTTGTAATTACTTGTAGATAAATTACTATGTTGCATGATTGGTAATTGTAGCCTTCATTGATAGTAAATTGTTTTAGTGTAATGTGTAGTATCATTAACTTGTCACTTTAGACATGTAACCTTATGGCATGGTTTGTGTGGTTTCACCCTACTTGTGCTTGGTAGGTAGTTTCATGCATTAAAATTATATAAATGTCATGGACTTGTTGATTTTTGGAAGCTTGAAAGGATATGAAAAGGGTGATGGCTAGGGTTTGGCTCTAGTACGGAGACAAGAGTCTTCTAAGTCATAAGTGCGCACTAGGTAGTACCTTGCGGGTCGTAATTGCCCAGAATAACTTGTACGGTCTCGAGGCCATATATCCTAATCTTTCCATTATTTGATTTCGCATTATCTTCCAAGTTGTAAATCATGGATTTCCTGTAGCTTTTGATTTGGTAATTTTAGTTTAAATGCGGTTAGTGTACTTGTTTATGTATACTTGGATCCTATGTTATTGTCATTTCAATTAATTGTATAGCTTGAGATGATCCTTTAGAGTACCTTGAAAACATAGACATTAGGTGGAATGCACCCTTGTGATGATCTATGTTAGGTTCGCATTATACTTAAACCTATAGGGTATGCGCATACACCACATCCTACGAGTAACTTGATTACTCACCCTAGTTGTTTGGATTATTTTGCAGGTAAAAAAACTTTGTTTTGGGATGCAACACATCCCTAAGTTGCTTTGATGCCTTGAAGTATTATGTTGTATTATGGAAAACATGCAAGTATTAGCATGTAGTATCATTTTGGTGAAAAATGCTATTTTGCCTTGAATTATGTAATGTGTACCTAAGTACACATTTTGATTTTTATTTGTATGTATAACACGAGGCCATGGGCCATTAACTTTAAAGTCTACAAGAATGTTTTTAAAACTCAAGTATTGCCATTGTAGCCTATTTTCTGAAAATTGGAGGTTTGGTATGTCAAAATTTGTAAATGGATTGTAATAAAGCCGTAGGCCACTATAGCGCATCTACTATATCTTTTTACGTATGCGTGTATGTGCACATTTCAAAAAAATCCTAAATTTTGAATTTAGATCTAATTTTGGATGAATTATGAAATTTTTATGCAAATTTCATGCATTGGAGTTTGATTTGAAGTTTCCCTTTGGTTTATCATGTTATGGATGCTTATATGAGACAATAGAATGTTTTTAAACTTGTTTGGATTATATGGGATGCATGTAGAACCTTTGATTTGGACCGAGCACCTTTCCACACTCTTGACAGTAGCTGTTTTTATTGATATTAGGTGCGTCGGTCAGCTGATAACTGATATCAGTTGGCTGATAGCCTTTGAGACTAATTCTAGTGAGTTTGCAAGTGAAAAAGGTCATTTCAGCCAGCTAATCCTTAGCATCAGCCGACTGATGATTGAGTTTCAGCCAGCTGATCCTTGCCATCGGTCAGCTGATCCTCCCTGAAGCTTGATTCTTTTTTAGTTTCTTGGATAGCCTTCTTGAGTCAACTTCAAAGGGCCATATCTCCTTTATTTCTGATCCAAATTAGGTCATTCTTGAGTTTAAATTTAAGAGCTTGAAGTTAGCTTTCCAATGGTACCAACCACACACCAAAAATCCAATCATAGTGAGAGTTATAATTGTTTTAGTGAGATAGGGTCGTAGTATCTCTTAATCGGAGAACGCCGTTTTTCCTATCTTCATATCTTTTCCGTTTGGACTCCAAATTATGCGATTCTTGATTCTAACTTCATTTTTTCTTTAGTTTTCTTTCCAATGGTGTGCACGGTGCACTCATTTTTGTATGAAATGACCATTTTACCCTTAGCCCGATTCTTGTCGGGTTTTGAAACCCTAGCTCAAGTCTTGCTTCCGCTGAGTCACGGGACTTCTTGGTAGATTATTTTTGTGTTTTAGGGATGATGTACATCTCAAAGGACTTGTTTATGTTCACTTTGGTATTATGGATCCGTTAACAGGTCATCTACGGGTCATCACAGGACGCACTGGGTTTGGAAATTTAGGGTCGTCTCAGGTGGTATCAGAGCTCCTAGGTTCGAAAATCTTAGGTTGACGGGTTTTGGGTGATTATTACACTTTTGTTGACTTGCTTTGATATATTTACGTGTTACTTAATAACATGTTTTGAATTGATAACATGTTTACACGCTTATGTGGCAATATGTTTAGGAATTTACCTTAACTATTTTAGTATGTTGTATATGCTTGTTTGTCTTAGCATGTGTATATGCTTGTCTGGCATTAACATGTTGTATATGCTTGTATATTTTAGTAAGACTATATGTTATATACATTTCATGCTACCGTTATGTGCTACCCATTTCGTGCATTCATGGCATAAGTTATATTGGGTCTTAACGATTTATGTTGTTATCGGCCTTGTCATTTATGTGTGTAGAAACATGGTTTTGACTCACGAAGAGTCTTCTCGTTATGACGGAGTGGATGAGCAGGTTGAGGGCACTGGGTTCACACGGGGTTTAGGAAGGCCCAGGACTCGACCTTATGGCATGGATCGTAATCCACCATGAGCACCAACTTATGAGGAGCAAATCGCATAGGGAGTGGCTCTAGGGATGTCAAAGTCCATTCAGCATATGTTTCATCAGCATATTACGGGGAAGTAGATTCCTGTACCGGCACCAGTTGCTAATGAGGCATTGGACTATTTCATGAAGTTACAACGGGTTAAGATTGACCAATTTACAGGGAGTATGTATCCACTTGCTTCAGAGGCATGGCTTGATCTCATGGTATGCAAGCTCGATAGCATAGCAGTACCTACAAACCGATTGAGGATTTCCTTGATTGCCTCTATGTTCGTGGGAGATGTCAATATTTGGTAGAGGACCATGACCAATATTCACGATGTAGAGGTTATGACTTGGGAGGAGTTCAGGACATTATTCTTCGACTATTTCTTTTTGTGGGCTATGAGGTAGGACATGAGGGTACAGTTCACAGGTCTTTATCAGGGCATGATGAGTGTTGTTGAGTATGAGACACGTTTTACCTCTCTTTCCCGCTGTGCACCAGAGATAGTTGCGACCGATGAGCTCAGGGCAAGAAAGTTTCAGGATAGGTTACATCTTGATATTAGGCCACGGGTTTCACTACTTGCTTTGAGGACCTATGGAGAAGTTGTCCAGAGGGCTATGATTGTTGAGGCAGAAGATCGAGATCAGTACAGGATCAGGGGTTCATATAAGTAGTCTAATGGAGAGGCTTCATCAGTATCTGTTGGGGGTCAGTGGAAAAAGGCTAAAGCTAGGGATAACTCACGTGTTTAAGGATAGTCACAGTAGGCTCGATCTACACCTGTAGTTCCAGTATCTTCGAGATCAGCTCTGGGAGTAATTTATCACCACTATCAACAATAGGGGCATTTTAAGTCTTGCTGCCCAAAGCTCAATCCACAGACCAGTCAGTTACAGGTTAGTAAGCCTTCAGCTTCGATGAAGGGGGTTCCTGGAGCTTGTCATTACTGCAACCAGCCAGGTCACTTAAGGAGGGAATGTCCAAAGTTGCATGGCAGGACACAAAGTGGCACAGGTTCACAAGTCACACGAGCACCATCAGCAGTTGTGCAGTCAGGATTCAGGGTGCCTCAGGCACCACAGTTAGTGGTACCGTCAGTTGGTTCATATCCGGTCAGGGGCTCTACGGCTACTACTTTCGGGCATCAGTTAGGCCACCAGGGTAGTTCTCAGCAGTCAAGGGCCTAGGGACGAGCCTATGCATTGCCACAGGTTGATACCCCTGCAGGGACTTCTATGGTTTGAGGTATCTTTCCGGTTTTCAGTTCTTGGGCTAGAGTTCTTGTTGATACCGGTGCATCGCATTCATTCATTTCTGCATCATTTGTACATTCCTTGGGACTAAAGGTCACACTGTGATCGGTTGGTCAATTAACATCAACCTTCGCAATAGCACGAATCATTGTAAAATAGGGCTATTGGTCGGGTAAGTCGAACCACTGGGACTGCGCTAGTCTAAGGCAACCTAAGTGTTTAGAGTCATTCTTAGGATGATGAAGGGGTGTTTATAGAGGTTTTGTTTGTTGTCACTTAAATTAGGAATTCAAAGTGCATAAAACACTAATTTGCAAGGAATTTAGGATGAAAAGATTAAGAAGAGGAGACTAGGGAAGTGAATCCGCCTCCATCCCTATACATATGCTAGATTAGACCTAAATTGGGGGAAAAACAACATATGATGGTCAAGACTTACATAGCAACACATGGTTGCCATATAAGTAATCAAGAGGTACATTAGGTCTCAAACAAGTATAATCCATCAAAAGATAAACATGCTTAGACTACCTAACTAAGGTGTAGCTTATACACATTTACTTAAATGAGAGACTATCAAGTTCTTGACAAAATGATAAAGCTCATGGAGTTAGAGATTAAGCATACACCATCAAAGGATTTCCTAAGCAATGGTCTATCAAAGTCACCTATCAACATGCCATGAAACCATTTCATAACCTTGCTTCCACTCTCACCATGAAAAACTCAAGCAATATGATTACTATAAGACATCATCTAAGACAAGATAATCAACTTAAAGAAATCATCCATACATGTATCAACATTCATTACAACAAATGAGGTGCTCTTGGTTATGAAAAGACCATAAAATATACATGGCAAATCCCCAAAATAGACTATCCTAGGACATGTTTACAAGGGAGGGACTTCATCACCTCCCTAGAGAAAGAGTTAGTTACCCATTGCTAAGCTAGAAGAAGGAAGAAGCTTCATCCAAGACTCCATTTTCGTGCTCCTACTGTAGCACTCAAGAACACCCTCCTCCTTGCTCTCTTCTCTCTCCTCTATCTTGCTAGAATATAGGATAATGATATGTGTGGCCTTCCTTGCCTTATCTCCTTCAACAAAGCTCTCTCTCTCCTCCCAAAAAACATCCCCAACCACCTCATAAAGAAGTAAGTAGAAAATGAGGAAACCAATGCACAAGTGGCTGCCAAAATGAGAATTCCCGAAGGCAATTCTGCCCCAAATTCGAGCACTCTAAGCAAGGCCTCAAGCACTCAAAAATGGAGCAGATTGCTCCATGCTTGCTTTGATTCGCCCGGACCTACTTTGGTAAAACAGCGATAACTTTGCCCTCCGAACTCCGAATGATGAACCGTTTAAAGATTTGGAGAGCTGGTTCAGAGCTTTAAAAACTTCATGTTTTGATGAAGACCCAAATATCAAGTTTGGTTGGTCGAAAATGGGGAGACAGGCAGTACTTCAGTGCTGCCAGGCAGTTCTGCGCACCTCTGGTAACAAGGCCATAACTCTCTGCTCCGAGCTCCGAATGATGAACCATTTGAAGATTTAGAAAGCTAATTCAGAGCTCTAAATCTTTCATGTTATGATGGAAGTCCAGTTCTCAAGCTTTCTAGGTCAAAATGGCGAGCAAAGTCCTAACTCCACTGCTGATCTCGTGAAGCAATCTGCCCTAATTTCGAGCACTCGAAATAAGGCCTCGAGCACACGAAAATTGGCCAGAATGCCTTATGCTTGGTTTGCTCCACCCAGACCTACTTTGGTAAAACGGCCATAACTTTGCGCTCTGAACTCCAAATGATGAACCGTTTGAAGATTTGGAAAGCTAATTCAGAGCTCTAAAAACTTCATGTTTTGGTGGAGATCCAATTCTCAAGGATGGTTGGTCAAAATTGAAGAGAAAGGCAGAAATTTATTGCTGCCAGGCAGTTCTAAGCACCTATGATAAGAAGATCTTAACTCTCTGCTCCGAACTCCGAATGATGAACCACTTGAAGATTTGGAAAGCTGATTCAGAGCTCTAAATATGTCATGTTATGAGGGAAGTCCAGTTCTTGAGTTTACAAGGTCAAAATGGCGAGAAAAGTCCAGGTTCCACTGCTGCCAGAAATTCAGCATTGTGACCTTTGATGTTCAAAACTCCACAAAGCATCCTTCTTGCTTCTTTTTGGCCAATGAACCTGAAAATATGCAAAAACGTGCATATGAAGGTAATCTACATAATTAAACAAACAATGGACTTAAATAATGCAATTAAGGGCGCTTGAATATGCAATATTCGGCGCTTATCACACTGCGGGATAGTTTCTTTTATGTTGACACACTAGTAGGGGGTCCAGTGTTTTCGGACTGTGTTTATCAGGGTTGTGCTACCGAGATAGCTGGGCGGACCTTAAAGTTTGATTTTGTTGTTTTCATTATGACGGGCTTTGGTGTCATTCTTGGGATGGATTGGTTATCCTTCATTCGTGCTACGATCGACTGCTTCTGTGGGAGGGTGACTATTTGTACTCCTGAGGGAGACTATTTTCACTTTGTGGGAGATTGGAGTGATTCTGACTCGGCGATTGTTTTTAGTATTGGTGACTGGAGTTGCTACAGATCATACTTGGCTAGCCTATTGGCTGAGGAAGACAGCAGCTTGGGCTGTGTTTTTTTGGCAGTTGTAGACGAGTTTTTGGATGTTTTTCCAGAGGAGTTGACGGAGCTTCCTCCTCTTCGGGAGGTTATCTTTGCCATTGATGTCATTCCTGGTACTACACCCATCTCTATGGCACCGTACTGCATGGCATCGGCAGAGCTTGATGAGCTAAAAGGCCAATTGGATGATTTGAAAGCTAAGGGCTTTATTTGTCCAAGTGCTTCGCCCTGGGGAGCACCAATTCTTTTTGCGAAGAAGAAGGATGGGTCCTTGAGACTTTACATCGATTATCGCAAGTTGAACCACGTTAAGATCAAGAACAGGTATCCTTTGCCTAGGATAGATGACTTATTTGATCAGTTGAAGTTAAAGGGAGCTACTTATTTTTCAAAGATTGATTTAAGATTGGGTTACTATCAGTTGAAGGTTAAAGATGAGGATATATCCAAGACCGCTTTATGTACACAGTATGGCCATTATGAGTTTCTGGTGATGCCATCTAGTTTAACCAATGCTCTAGCAGCTTTTATGGACTTGATGAACCGTGTATTCAGTGACCATCTTGATCAGTTCATTGTGGTTTTCATTGACGACATTCTTGTATACTCAGCGGTAGAGGAATATAAGTATCATTTGAGGAAAGTGTTGCAGATCTTTAAGGATAATTGGTTGTACGCCAAATTCGAGAAATGCGAATTTTGGCTATCGAAAATAAAGTTCCTTGGACATATGGTGCCAGGGGGCGATGTTGTAGTGGATCCGTCGAAGATTGAATCAGTGATGGATTGGGAGCATCCGAAGATAGTGTTTTAAGATACAGAGTTTCCTTGGCCTTACCGGCAACTACTAGAGATTTGTTTGAGATTTCTCCCGTTTAGCGGTACCTGTTACTCAACTTACCTGTGAGGGGTTAAGTTCATATGGAACAAGGCCTTTGAGGTTGCTTTTCAAGAGCTGAAGCTCAGGCTGACATTGGCTCTAGTTTTGATCATTCCTGAACATTGTTTAGGTTATGTGATCTTTTGTGATGCTTCGCAGGAAGGTTTGGATTGTGTCTTGATGCAGACAGAGCGAGTGGTTGCTTATGGGTCTCGACAGCTGAAGAATCAAGAGTTGAACTACCTGACATATGATTTAGAGTTGGTAGTAGTTATCTTTACCCTGAAGGGGTGAAGACACTATTTGTAGAGAGAGAAGTTTAAGATTTTCTTCGATCACTAGAGTCTCTAGTATCTCTTTTTTTAAAATGATTTAAACTTGAGACAACGCAGATGGGTTCATGGAGGACTATGGCTTTAAGTTACAGTATCATTTGGGTAAGGGCAATATAGTGGCTGATGCATTGAGTAGGAAGTCATGGGGAACTTTTGCTAACATTTCCGTTCACAGATGGAAGATGCTAGAAGAGCTTGCAAATCCTGGTTTACAGTCTTATGAAGATATTTCACTGGCTATTTTGTTTAGTCTTGTGGCTCAATTGGCTTTGGTTAGCAAGGTTATTGAGGTACAGTTGGAGGATGGGGAGATAAAGGCCATCCATGTTTGAATTTCAGGCGGTGAGGATGTAGAGGGTTGGACCTTGCATTCAGATGATGGTCATAGGTACCAAGGGATGATGTTCATTCCTTTATCTTGTCTTGATAATGTTCTTCTAGATTTTCACCACTCTTAGCTCGTAGTTCATCCTGGTGGTACGAAGATGTATCACAATCTGTGGCGATAGTTTTGGTGGCAGGGCATGAAAAGGGATGTTTCACAGTTTGTGGCTCGATGCCTTACTTGTCAGCAAGTGAAGGCAAAGCATCAGCAACCGGTAAGATTGTTGCAACCATTACCAGTAGCAGAGTGGAAATGGGAGCATATCACTATGGATTTCGTAACAGGACTTCTGAGGTCCCAGGCAGGGAATGATACCGTTTGGGTTATAGTTGACAGGTTGACTAAGATGGCTCACTTCTTGCCTATGGAAGTGACAGATAGTGCAGAAAGACTAAGTAGACTGTATGTGAGGAAGATTGTCAGGCTTCATGGGATTCCTGTATCCATTGTTTCGGATAGGGATCCACGGTTCACATTTCACTTTTGGCAAAGTTGTTAGGAGGTTCTTGATATGAGGCTTCATTTCAGCACGACATTCCATCCTCAGACTGATGGTCAGTCGGAGCGTACCATTCAGATATTGGAAGATATGTTACGGGCTTGTATCTTGGATTTTGGGGGTAGTTAGGAGGACTACTTGCCTTTAGTTGAGTTTGCCTATAATAACAGTTACTAGACCAGTATTGGC